GATGTGAAGGGCAGACTGGAAAGAAAGGGAAGCCACAGGAGGGCAGCCTTTAGCCAGAGGCTGTGCATCAGGGCGGGGCCTGTGGACTAGAGGCAGTTTCCTTTTTGGAGACCCTTACTGTCATATCAAGCACACAGGAATGCACCCACCTCCTTCATGAAGTGAAACAGTTCTTGCTCATTGACATAGTTTGACATTTGGTTGTTCTTTACTTAAGTGTTCATTGCAATTATACAGCATTCATATTTCATAAGCAGTGATGATTTTTGTAGGTTTCAGACATGTTTGCGGGCCTTGGAAATGCTCAGAGGCCTTGGGCATTACGCCTGCAGGAAGGGCTGGGAGTCCACTTTCACGGGCTGGTTCAGAGTGGCTGTGGGCCTGAGACCCCCTCATTCATGGTCTCCCTAAGACACCGCTAAGGTGCCAGCAACAGATGTTAGAGACAGGTCCTCCTGAGCCCAGAGGGCCCTGGCGATGCCCTGAACTCCAGGCTCAGATTCCCTACAGAATCTGCAACCCCAAGTGTCCAGGCATGAGGTCCTTGGATCTGTGTGTGTTACAGCAGAATGTGTGTGTTGGGGGCGGGGGGTGGGGCGTGACACGCGAGAGTCTTCCAGCACTCGAGAGAACAGTTTGGTTCGAGCATGCGTTGGCCCCATGTCCCACGGAGTAGTGCCCACATGACCCGTGCAGGGTCATCTCTGATGTGGGGCTGGGATCTGGTGAGTTCCTGTGGCTGCCCAGAGGCCACAGGGCCTCTCTGTAGACGCCAGCCACTCGCTCCCTTGGCCTCCAGCCTCATTAGTGGTCACTCTGCTTGCTTGCTTCTCTTCCCTAAAATAGGACCCTAGCTGGGAGAGAGTTCTGGAATGGATTCAGTGTGCCCCCTCTCCTTGGCCAGATTTCAGACTCAAGGGTTAGAGAACAGGGGACTCCAGGGACCTGCCCCCCTCCCTGTGAAAATCTGATGATGTTGGAGTGGTAGGGAGGGAGGGAAGAAAGCTGGAGATGCCGGGCTGGGGGAGCCAGAGGTCTGAGAGGCTGGTGTGGTTGGGAAGGAAATCCACCTGGCAAGCTCCCTGTGCTGTTGCAGGGCGAGGGGTTGGTGCCGACTGAGGAAGCAGCTGTCCGGTAGGGGTGGCAGGGCAGTTCAGAGGGGGCCAAGCTGGCACTATGTCTGCGAAGCTGGACAGAACCATGGGGCCAAGGCTCCCTCCTTCCCGCCCCATGGTTGAGGCCACCCTGCCAGCTTCTGTCCCATGTGACAGCCTAGCATGGTGGGAACATTTTTCTTCCCATTGGACAAGGCCCTGTGTGTGTTTTCCTCTACTCCCAGTAACTGCCAGCTTCCTACCTACCCCAAACAACACCAGACCCAAGTACTTCCTGCCCCAAATCATTGCCCCTCCCCACCCCCAGACACAAGGGGCAGCTCCCAGAGCTGAACCGGAGGAACCCATTGGCACAATTGAAGCAATTCTCTCAACAGTCTGGGTCTCAAGCAAAAATGTCCTCAGCCCCATCTACGTTGTAAAGGCCAAAAGATTCAATTCTGGGTTTTGGGGGGCTGGGAGCATAGAGATATGTTTGTCCAGGAGTTGGAACTGTGGAAGAAGGGGGGCCATTAAGAGGAGAAGAACGAACGGGTATTTGTCTGGTGTCCCTGCTTTTGCGAATGGCTTAGAGAGAGTTGGGGATCGAGGACTTTTTCTCTGCCACAGAGAAGTATCTCCTTTCCAGACTTGATGGGCTGGGGTTTGCACAGGGTTAGTCAAGCTAGAAATGTGGGCTGCAGCTGATGCCTTACTCCTCCCCAGCACAAAAGTGGCTACCTTGGTGGGGGAGAGGGGGTGCTGCCAGAGGGGGATAGGACACTAAGAGATGAGTTGTTCCTGTTCTGGGCAAAAGGCTAATCTTCACCTGCCATTAGGAGCTGGTCCCCAACCCTGTGCTCTGCTCTCTCTCTCTCTCTCTCTCTCTCACACACACACACACACACACACACACACCCTACCCTGATTGCCTCCTATTCCACAAACAACCCAGACTTCCTCCTGGGGAGCCAGGAGCCACAAGGAAACTAGGTGAGGGTTAAGCCACTAGCCACATGGGGCTCCTGAGCACCTGTCACATGGCTGTTCTTAACTGAGATGTGCTGGAACAGTAGAACACACACAGATCCCAAAGGTTCCGTACTGAAAAAAAGGAAAAGGAAACTGTCATTCATCATTTTGCATATTGATTACATATTGAAATTAGAACTTCAATACATTGGGTTAACTAAAATACATGATTAGAATTAATTTTTTAACTTTCAAAAATATGGCTACTAAAACATTTAAAATTATATACTCACCTCACATTGTCGTATGTCCACTGACCAGCTCTGGGTTAAAGAATTTGGGGTTACCCCAACACCACTTCTAGACCTGTCTGGACAAGATTCTCAAGTTAGGATCCCAGGTTTTAATCTCAGGGGTTTGGGTTTTGGAATTTTTAAAATTCCAACATTTAAAAATTCCAATTTGGAAAATTTTTAAAAATTTTCTGTTTTCAATTCAATGATCTTTTTTTTTTTAAATTAAAGATTTTATTTATTTATTGGAGAGAGGGAGACAGCATGAGAGAGAGAGAGCAGGGGGGAAGGGTGGAGGGAGTGGAAGCAGCAGACCCCCCACTGAGCAGGGAGCCCCCAATGCAAGTCTCCATCCCAGGACCCCTGGATCATGACCTGAGCCAAAGGCCAACACTTAACTCACTGAGCCACCAGGTACCCCTCCGTTCAATGATCTTTAAGCAAAAATCTTTTGCAGATAATTTTGAGATGATTATTGATTAGAAGATGTTTTCCTAGTGTAAGATTTTCATTTCTTAAGTCCGTGTTTCTCACACTAGAATCCTCAGACATATTCTCAGGAAACAAGATACTTTTCACCTCCCTTTAACAGGTGTGTAATCAGATTTGAGAAGTAATATTCTCTGGCTTCCTCCTCCATGCGTGCGCGTGCGTGTGCGTGTGAGTGTGTGTGTGTGTGTGTGTGTGTGTGTGTGCTGTGATCATCCGGCAGCCCTGTTCCTCTCTCCGTCCATACCTTCTCCCTCCCCTGTTCCCCCAGCCTCATCCCCACAAACCAAGAAGGGGACAGTCGCGGGGAGAGACCCTTGGGACTGGGGCATGGGGAAGGTTGAAATACATGCCCTTTCTCCACCTTTCTTCCTGACCCTTCAGGACACCTCTCTGATGTTACTCAAAATACTGAGGGGTCCTTTCACCCCCTTTGACATTTAATGCCACCTCTGAGCCTCAAACTCTGGGGTTATATGAAGGAGCTGAAGCAGAGCTGAGGTGAGGTGGGCTTTGATTGAGAAGTCACACTGTCAGGAGCCTGTCCCCACTGAGGGGGCCACCGCAACCCCCCCCCCCAGGGCCTGAATGAGACCATTAGAGGCCCTGAGAACTGACATGATTATTTAGGATTTACCACCGTGGATAATGTCAATTAAAATTCTCCTAATCCGTAAAATGGGAATAAAGGGGGCCATGTGAGTTCTAATGACTCATATAATGACAACTGTGATGAAGTTTTGGAAATGTCAAGATTGTGTGTGAGTGTGTGTGTGTGAGAGAGAGAGAGAGAGCGTGAGAGAGAACGTGCCATTTGGAAACCCAACATCGCCCCCACATCCCCTTCACACAATCACTCTTCAGGTGCTACTAGGAAGTATCAGTGTTGGAGGGACAGTTAGGTGGGGACAAGATAGGTAGGAGGGGTCTGTCTGGAAAGCAGAGAAGGGAGGAAGCCCCCCTTCCACTCTTGCCTCCATCCTGGCTATTGTATGTTCTCCAAGAGCCTCCTGAAGATGGACTGGTTGGAATGTCAGATGTCTAGGGTCCTCTCACCGCCTGTCTTGATACATTCACCTCGAATTCACCAGTAAGCCTGGGGACAGAGCTGCTCGCAGGCCTTGTCCCCACCCCCCACTTGAGATCTCCTTTACTGTGCATCCCAGAAGCTGCCCAGTCGAGAGGAGTTTCCAGACCTGTACCTCTGACCTTCCCATGTCCACCAATAAGAGCAAAGAAGTGAAACCCTTTGTCTCGGCCCAGAGCAGGCAAGAGTTTGGGCTGGGAGGCTCATTAAAGTGTTTTAATAAGCAATTAACTCAAAGGATGAGCCCTTCGGCTGGTATGGAACTTCCTCCTCCCAGGGAGGGAGTCTGGCAGAGAAAGGCTAAGTGGGTGGGCAGAGTGCGTTTAGTCAGTAGCTTGGGGCCTCTTTCCTCCCCCTTTAAATACAAATAAATAAACAGAACCTCCGAGTGGGCAGAGGCAAAGGCTGAGGCCTGGGCCTCCTCCACCAGGCCCCGGGGCTCTCTCAGTTTTCTGTAAAGGCCGCGGACAGGCTTGGGGAGGCAAGGGTGCTCAGTTCCTCTGAGCCAGGGCCTTTGAGGGCTGGGCAGAGGCCCCTTCTGTGAAGTCCTCCGCTCACAGAGTGGGGCCCAAGGAAGGGCAGCTCCTCCCACCTGCCTGGCCTCCTGTTCCACCTGCCAGAGCTCTGACCCAATTTGGGCCACTCTCCCACTCTCCTCAGGATGTGGGGCTGGAGGCCTGGGAAAGACAGAGCCCCAGGGGGCAGGAGGAGGGTGCTGTGGCTCAGGCCTGTGGGTTCAAGGTGTAAAGGGGGCATTGCACCTTGACCCCCGCTCAGTCTGCTTGCCTGCAGAGCCCTAAGTCAGATCCAGGCCATGGGGGAGCCCAGGGCAGGTGAAATGTCTGGTTAGGGGCTCAGTGGGCGATCCAGGTTGCCTGAACCATTTCTTGGCTCTTTCCTGTAATCGCGAGCGGAGGGTAGGGCTCCTGCTTCGCACAACCTCAGGGGGCGCCACTGATACAGGAAAGAACATGGTTGTACTGGGGAAACCGTACCCCCTCTCCAGCCACACTTTCTGGCTTGTAACAGCGTGTTCTCCTGCCTGTGTTTTCCCTGTTCCTTCAGGCTCCTGAGCAACAACAAGATTACTGGGCTCCGGAATGGATCCTTCTTGGGACTGTCCCTGCTGGAGAAGCTGTAAGTGCTGAGGCAAAGGGGGGCAAAGTTGGGAGCTGGTGGTCATGGGCAGGAAGTCAGTCCAGGCAAGGTGAGGACCCCTGGGTGCCAAGGGGGACCCCTCAACCCCAGAACCTGCTGGCTAAGTGAGGCCCAGAGTCAGACCCACGGGAGCCCTGTACAGGACTTGACCACCAGGTGGAGGCTACAGAGAGAGGGACCAGCTCCTTCCCCAGTGACAGCAGTGAGAAGTACAGGGAAACCTCGCTGGTCTAGGCAATGATGGGTCTCAGGGAAGTTCATTAACGCTCTTTAATGAGCACTTAGCTGTGAGAGCTGAGCCCCTTAGCTGGCCAGATGCCACCTCCCTGCTCCAGCTGGGGGCCCACATAAAGGGCTGAGGATGATTTGGTGTGACTGAGGCCTCTTTCCTCCTCCCCAACCCCACCCCCAAACAAATCAACAAACAAAGCCCCATGGGGCTAGCGCCCTGGCCTAAGGGTCTGGAAAGTGGATCCCATCCACAGGGCCCCCACCCGACCTGCCGTGGTTTGGGGCTGCATCCCTATGGGCCCACAGGTGGGCTGGCACTGGGCTCAGGACTTCAAGGGCTCTGCTGGCCAGAAGGGGCTTTTCCCCCAGAGTTGGGGACCTGACTGAGTTGAGGGCGAGTCACTTAACCTGCTGAAGGAGGGGACTGAACCAGCCCCTCAGTTCCCTGTTCGGCTGGCCTGCTCCAAAATCCATCCTTGGCTCCTGTCTCCTCCGCAGGAGACCTGGGCCTCTGTTCCTCCAGAGCCTGATCCTTGCTTTCTCCCCTGCCCTGTCTCCTACCTCTGCTCCCACCCTGAGGGTTCCCAAATCTTTCAGCAGGCCTCCTGTCCCGCCCTCCCCCGCCCCCCAGCCATCTGCCATTTTGCCTGCCAGGCGTGGATCTGGTGTGATGGGGGATACAGAAAAATAAGGTGGAAGACTGCCCTCAAAGAGCCCGAGCTCACGGTCTACTGGAGACCGTCAATGCCACGTGTGCTAGAATTGAGTAGGTTGAGGTTTCCACGAAACCCGAAGGAGGGACAGCACTGAGCAGGGAAGGCTGGACAGTTGGAGGGTAACTGGGAGGCAGTCTCTCCGTGACATGGAATGTAGGTCTTCAACCGTGACAACAGTCTTGTGAGGTCGTCTGCATTACAGCCCACTCACAGGGGAAGGGAAAACCTGTCCTCCACACACTCCCCAGCGCCGGGAGGAGAGCTCAGTGGCCTGGCTGGCTTTGTGGTGGTGTGGAGGGGCAAACCATGTTTGGGGTGGAAAGGAAGAGCGTGCTGTCTTTGCTCTGGGGGTGCTGGGCTGGGAGGGGGTGTCGGGATGTTGACGGTGGTGCGTGCACCCAGCTCCATGACCAGGTCCCTCGTCCAACTGCCTTGCCGCTCACAGAGCTGGCAGTCCGGATGGGGAGAAAGGGCCCCCACCAAGCTGCTCTTACAAAGTCTCCTCGGCCACCAGCAGCTCGGGAAGGTTTTTATCCCCCACAAGCGGTTAGGCCTGTGGGAGCTCTGATTCCTGCACTCAGGCCAAGCCTGGTCTCCGAGGGCTGAGTGGCAGGAAGCCACACGCTCTCTCCAGGGATCTTTGCAGGATGACAGACTGTAGCTGCCCCCACCCCTTTGCCCAGCCCCACCAGAGCCTGTCACCGCCCAGACTCGCTCTCCTTTCTCACTACCATGAACGAGATGGCTCTGAGCCTCTTGGGGCCCCACTGACCTCTTCCCAGCTTTACCCTCTCAATTTATCCATCCAACACCCACCAGGTCTCCCCGCTTCTCCTCCTCTAGTCTCATGAGGGTCAACTTCCTGATGGAGAAGAAAAGCAGGTCCTTTTCTTCCCACCCGTGCCCACGTACTGAATATCACCAGCAGCGGGGACCTAAGTCAGTGCACAGCATGTGCTTCCAAAGCCTGGGAGGCAATCAGAGAAAAATGAGAGCGTGGTCAAGGAATAATGACTAAGAGCTGAATCACGTGCCGTGGCAGGTGCACGGGGCAGGAGACAGATGAGAATTCAGAATATTGAGGGTGAGCCCCGCTCTTTTAGGGATCCTCCAAGGCCTTCATTCCAGAGATATTTACCAAGCCCCTTTTGGGTGCTGAGCTCTGTTCTAGGCATTGGGAGTGAACACAACAGACCCAGTGCCTGCCCTCAGGGAACTTACCCTCCACCGTGGGGACCCAGAAAATAGCAAATAAATGTGTATATCGGGAGATAAGTCTACAAAGAAAAACAAAGCAGGGTAAGGGGGAGAGAAGGCAATGGTGGTAGGGGGAGGCTGCTATGAGCAGCAGAGGCTGCTGTTCCCTGCTATGTAGGGAGGTCAAGGAAGGCCTCATTAACAGATGATTGAGTCCAAGGTCTAAGGGAGGGAAGAATCTTGAGGGATTCAGATGGGAGGAGCCCAGGATCTCCAGCCTGGTTGATCACCACTGTATCAGTCGGGTTCTCCAAAGAAGGAAAACCAATAGGAGATGTGTGTGTGTGAATCTTTATATAAAGACACAACGAAATTATTTTATGTTAGTTTTTTATAAAGAAATTTATTTTAAGGAAATGGGTTTGTGTGATTATGGGAGCTGGCTAATCCAAAATCTGTAGAAGGACAGGCCGGCAGGCTGGGAAGTTAGGCAGGAGATGATGCTTTAGTCTCCAGATAGAATTTCTTCTCCTGGAAACCTCAGTTTTTGGCTCTTAAGTCCTTCACCTGTTTGGGTGGGGCCCACCCATGTTCTCCAAGGTAAGGTAATCTCCTTTATTTAAACTCAGCTGCTTGTGGAGGTCCACTGCAGTTACAAATTCCTTTACCATCATGCTTCCATTAGTGTTTGGTTAGGTTACAAGGTGCTGTCGCCAGCTGAACGGACACATAAAGCTAGTCATCAAAACCACTGGCCTGCTATGGGATGGGGAGAGACCCTGTGCCCCCCTCCCAGAGATGCTAATTCATCAGGTCGGAAGGGGCCTGGGAATTTTTTACAAGGTATGCAGACGATTCTCATGCTCATCTGGGGTTGGGAACCGGTGGACCAGATGACCCCGAGACTGTGGGCCTATTCATCACAAATGAGACGCTGTGGCCTGGTGTGCCGTTGGTGCCAGGAAACACTGATCTCTCTGTCCTGTCAGGCTCAGACACCCAGGCTTGGGCAGCTGAGTCCAGGGCAGCCTAACATCCCACAGTCTGTGAGAGGCAAGTCCCGTGGGAGGGTTGGGGCCTAGCCTAATAATTGAAATGGAAGGTCTGGGCCACAGAGAAGGCCAGCGTTGCCTCCTTGTGCTGAGCGCCCTTCTGGTCTTTGAAAATGGGTCAATAAGTGTGTGTGGTGGGGGAGGTCAGCCTGGTCCCAGTTAATGCATGGAGGGGCCTCAAGGCTGGGAGGGGATAGAGAGGGTGCCGTGTAGGAATGTGCCTGCGATGATCTCAGGGGAGGACAGGTGCTCCAGAGAGGCTGGGGAGAGTGGAGCCGACGTTGTGGGGCTCTATCGGGCAAGCCGGACGGATAAGAAAACCTGAGACGGGGTCCAGCTGAGAAGAGGTTCACGGCCAGCCCATGGCATGTACAGAATCGTTCAGATGGGCGTGAGACCCTGTCTCTGGGCCCTCCCCTCCATATCCCACCAGCCCCAGACATGGACAAGCCTGTCTGTCCCCCAGAGGAAAGACTTCTGGGGTGGAGGAGATGGGGTGGGCGATGAAGGGCACAGAACTCCCTTTAGAGTCAAAGAGGCCTGGGATTGAATCCTGCCTCTGCCATTTTCTTTCTGGGTGCCTCTCCATGCCTGGGGTTTCTCCCCTGGAAAAGGGAGCAATCGGGACTCAGACAGGCTGTCGTGGGGATGGCGTGGGCTTTCTGTAAATACCTCTCCCCTTCCCTTCTCCTCTGAAGAGTTTGAAGTTGGAAGATGTTATATTGCAGCCCCTCGTTGCATGGGATTTGCCCAGAGCTCCCTCAGCCTCCAGGGGGAGGGGGCAGTCCTGGAGCTGAACCGTGTATTCAGAGTCCCAAAAGGACTCTCCAATGGCCCACCCATCATCTCCGCCCACATCCCCCACCACGCACATTCAACAGGGAGTGGGCCACCTGAAGACCTTCCCGGGCTCCGAGGGTGCCCCGGTCACAGTGAAATCCCCCAGACTGGGGACCAAGTGGGCCGCGGGACAGACAGCCCCCAGAAGAGGCTAAGGGAGAGAGACTGGGCATGCCAGCAAGCAAGTGTCTCTGTGAGGACACGAGCCCCCCCCAGGCCCTTGCATGCCTGGAGGAGAGGGCCTGGTGAGGGGAGCCTGGTCAGCCCGGGGATGATTTGTCATTGCCTAATGAGATTAATGAGCCCCGGGGGCTGGTATGCGGCGGTGCTGGGGCACTCATTAGAAGCAGATGCTCATGGGAATGATGGCAAGGGAGGGGGGTTTTGGGGGTGGAGTGCTTCTCACCCGCCAGGTGGTTTCCATTAATCTATGGGCGGGGCCGTGAGCAAGGCCACCCGGCCCCATCCTCCGCCCCTTCCTACCCCGCTTGCACTAGGGAAGAATGCTGAAGAGAGGCTGCTGACGCTGGGAGCAGCGGAGGGCTGGGAAGGGAGGCTTGTGGGCTTGGGGACAGACCTTGTGTCCATGCTTGTAGCCCCAGTGCCTGGCATTCTGTATGTGCTGAATAAATACCTGTTGGGTGATATCGGAGACAAGGGGGGCCCGGCCAGGGATGGGACCATCTCAGTTTTCTCCAGCCACATCCTCTCCACACCCTCCGTACCTGTGCGGGGGTCTGGCCGGCTTGGAAGTCCTGGAGGGCCCAGGGAAAGCTGCTCTGCGGCCTCCAAACCTATAATTTGGTTTCTGAACCCACAAGCAGGGAGGTCTGGGGGGGCTGGAGGGAGCCGACTTGGGGCCACCCCACCCTGTGCAGGCGTGGTACGGGGCTCACCCTCACACGTGCTCGCTCTGGCGTGCAAACTCAACTCTTTAACAGCTTTCGTGGGATGGAATTAACATCCCAGAACGTCCACCCACTTAGAGCGTGCCCTCCGACGGCTCCGACTGTATTTACACTGTCCCGCGGCCATCACCGTCTAATTTTAGAACATTTTCATCATGTCGGAAGGCAACCGGGCATCAGCCACAGCCACTCCCCGATCCCCCTCCTACTCAGCCCTAAGCAACCACTAATCTCTCTGCCTCTCTATAGATTTGCCTCTTGTGGGCATTTCATCTAAATGGAATCACATCATATGTAATCTTCTATAACTGGCCTTCTTTCACTTAGCGTAATGGTTTCAAGCTCCATCCAGATTATAGCACAGATCAGCAGTTCATTCCATAAAAGTCTGTTGTGCAAATAGAGCACAAATGTGTTATCAGGTGACAGGCACGCGGGAAGTTTCCACGTTAGGGCTGCGACCATTCCTGTTCCAGTTTTCGTGTGCCTGTACCCTCGTTTCTCCTGGATATATTCCTGGACGTGCAGTTGCTGGGTCCCTTGGTAACTCTGCCAAACTGGTTTTCATGGTGGCTGCACCATTTTACACCAGTAATGGAGAAGGGGTCCAGTCTTTTCACACCCTCATCAACTCGTGCTGTGGCCCGTTTTTCTCTATCACCGTCTTAGCGCCTGCAAGGGGATATCACTGTAGTTTCACTTTGCATTTCCCTGATGACTAATGGTGTCTACCATCTTTTCATGTGTTGTTTGGTCATTTGTACCTGCTCTTGGAAGAAATGTTTATGGACATCCTTTGCCCATTTTTTTTTTCCAGCTGGTTTGTCCTTTTATTATTGAGTTGGAAGAGTTCTTTGTATATTCTAGATGGGAGTCACTTATCGGATATATGATTTGCAAACATTTTCTCTCATTCCTTGGGTTGCTTTTCACTTTCTGGATGGTGTCCTTCAGACAGCAGAAGTTTTCAGTCTTTATGAAGGACACTTTATTAATCTTAGGCTGACACACTCCATCTTACACTCGGCTTCCTGAGCTCAGCTTTCCCAAGAAGGATGGAGGGTATGATTTGCTCTCAGGAACCCACCCCCCCCAACCCCGACTTCTGCCATAGAGTCCCTCCCCTCCACACTGTCCTAGATACTGGGAGAGGGGCCTGCCTTGAGTCAGGGTAGCCTGCTCCGGGCTGGGGGAGGGGTGGTGGGGAGGGGACACTCTGTCCACACACCACACCTTTCCCAGCTTCTAAGACCTGGGCTCTGTGGGAGCAGGGAGAAGAGGAGAGATTCCACATCACTGAGACATCTGCTTGCCCTCATGACCTCACCTAAAAAATGGAGGGATCTTGGGGCACCTGGATGGCCCAGGTAGTGGAATGTGCAACTCTTGATCTTGGAGCTGTGAGTTCGAGCCCCACACTGGGTACAGAACTTCCTTAACATTTTTTTAAAAATCTTAAAAAAAAAAAAAAAAAGTGAAGGGATCAGGTTAGACAATCTAGGGCAGGGGTGCATCTCCTTGATTTCAAGGCCCCTTGAAATCATGGACACAGTGTTGGGTAGAGTGCATTTTTCTGAGACAGGAGTCCATAGCAAGAAGCACCAACCTATAGGGACCTTACTGGTAAAAAAAAAAAAAAAAAAAGAAAGAAAGAAAAGAAAGAAAAAGAAAGAAAGAAAAGAAAGAAAAAGAAAGAAAGAAAGAAAGAAAGAAAGAAAGAAAGAAAGAAAGAAAATCCAAGCTCTAGGATAGTATTTCCTCCTGCTGCTAGGGAGGGTTTAGCCCAGACCGGCTTCCCCCTACCTTAGGGACCAGGACCCCATCATCAGGCTTTCAGAGCTCGGCACAGTGAGCAGCCCCTGGCCTGTACCCCCCAGGAGAAGACTCCAGGACTGGCCTGTCTGGGCACTGCCTGGGTCACCCCTGAAGCCACTTTGTGGGCGGGAGGCAAGGGGGCAGGCATGCCAGAGCTTGGTGGCAGCTCCCCTCTCAGAGGGCCCCGGCGGCGTGGCTCTGGTCTGCAGGAAATCCAGGGCAGGAAGGGGCTGGGGCCCAAGTGGCCGCCTTGCTCCCATCTGCAGAGCATCAGTGGGGCAGGCGGGGTGGGGGTTCTCAAGGGGGGCTGGGGAGGAAATGAGAATAAACACAGCTAGTGGAGAGGGAAGGGGCGGGGGGCTGCGGCCTCAGCCCCTTGGCAGCCCATGAAGGGAAGTGACACAATGAGGAATGTGTTTCCCTCTGCCCTCCCCCGCGTGGGGGTGGGAGGCAGAGCCCTGAGAATGGCCAGACCCCAACGGGGCCAGGGGGCACATGCTGGAACAGCACCAGAGGAGGGTGCTGTGAGAGTGGGGAACCAAAAGGGGGCTGCTGGCAGGCGGGGCAACCCAGAGCAGGTGGGGCGCTCCCCCCCCAACCCAACCCCATCCATCTCCAGTCTCCATGCTGCATGAGCATCGAGGTTCTTCGTTCTTGCACGTTCTCTGCTGGTGGTGCACCACCAGCGAGCCTGGGTATGGAAGCCATCCCTTCTCTAGGGAGCTGGCCCCTTCTGGTGGCTTCTTTTTAAGGGACTCAGGGTTATGGAGACCAACTCCTTGGTATAAGGGTGTTTCATTTCTCTCTCAGGGTGTTTTTGTCCCCAGCTGAGACTGGCTATGCGGAAAACAGGCCCCCTGGTGGGATGGCACCTCCCCATCCTGGACACCCATTTCCTCTCCCAGAGCTGGGAGTGGCTACTTAACCCCCTCCTGCCCAGGATCCAGAGATGTCCCTGAGACTTTAGCAGGCAAGGCCAAGTGCCCAGGGCGCCAGCCTGGGCTGGAGGGTCGCAGGGCCTTGGAAAACAGGTTGACTACAGATACCTGTCAATCTCGTCTTTCCTGTACAGGCTCTTTGCAACAGGTTGGTTACTCAGGAACCCCCCAACCCCTGCGCTCTGCCTCCTAAGCTCCCGGGTGGAGAGCAGAGCCAAGCCAGGAGGCTGCAGCCAACATCCAGGGTCCCAGGAGGTGAGGCGGGCTGGCTGAGCAGTGAGGCTTCCTGCTGCATTGCCCTGTGGGGCTGCAGTCGTGCTGGTTGGGCTCAGGAGAGATTCAGGTGGACCTTGAGTAGTGGGTGAGTGAGTTGCCAGTGGCTGTGCTCAGAAGGCAGAGGATGGGAGGGGAGCCAGTGGCCAACACTCACCTGTGGCCCAGAGAGCTGCCAGCCTGGTTTTGAGCTGGGGCCAGGTGGACACCCCTTCAGCTCTGCCCCACCCCCAATCCCCACTGCCACTGCCACTGCAGGGGAGGAGGATGAAAGAGAGGAGGGCTGCTATCTGGTCATGTGGTTGCTTTGAGCACCGGGATGCTGGGACAGAAGCTGGCCTGACGCCTCTCCTAACCTCATTCCTGGGTGTGTGTGGAGGTGGGCGCTTGGCCCCATGGAGACTTGGAGGGGCACCACCTTCTTCTGTCTGGACCTACTGGAGTTCAGCCTAGAGACTTCGTTTCCCTTGCCACCTTCCCTCAGCACTGTGGGCTCCTGGGAGACTTGGGGGGAAGGCAGGTGAACAAGGCTTTACTACCTGTCCCCAGCCTTGCCTTCCTCATCTGAAGAATGAATGGCCACCGTGGCCGGGGGCGGGGGGGTGGTGTTATAGTTCTGCCCTGGAATCAGAGACCAGGTGGGCCTCCAGGCGGTCATCAGCTTCATGCTGTGTCTCCACACCCGCTGGATGGAGAGATCAACACGTGGAAATACCAACCCTCAATGCCGGACTCCAGAAGGTCTTACCTTTGTATAGTAATTTACAAAAGACTTAAAAAAAAAAAAAGACTTTAGCACCCATTTTCTTTTTTTTAAAGATTTTATTTATTTATTTGACAGACAGAGATCACAAGTAAGCAGAGAGGCAGACAGAGAGTAGAAAGGAGGCAGGTTCCCCGCTGAGCAGAGAGCCCAATGCTGGGCTTGATCCCAGGACCCTGGGGTCATGTCCTGAGCCGAAGGCAGAGGCTTTAACCCATTGAGCCACCCAGGCGCCCCTAGCACCCATTTTCAAATGGCTCTCATAGCAGCCCCTGTGAGATCCTTGGCGGTTCAGATTGGAGCAACATGGCCAAGGCCTCCCGGCTCCTAGTTCAGTGCTGGCTCCAATCTTTGTTTCCACCATGTTCTGCTTCCTCATCCCAAGGGTCCCCATCCCATCTCTTGGCTTCTCTATTCTTCCTGACATCTTTTTGACCAGCACCCCTTGATGGTAGTGGGGGGAGGGGGTGCAGAAAGTAGACCTATGTGAGAGGTCAGGTCCTTCATCCAACCTCCGCACAAGGGCTGAGGAGATTTAGAAGAAAATCCAGTTGCCGACACTGCTGATAAAAATGAGGCTTCCCCGCCCCAGCGGAGCGTGAGGGCCCCAGAGCAGGAGAGCTGTGAGGGCCCCCACTTGCCTCCCACAGGGACCTGAGGAACAACGTCATCAGCACGGTGCAGCCTGGTGCCTTCCTGGGCCTGGGGGAGCTGAAGCGTTTGTGAGTGGCATGTCTGGCTCCCCAAGCCCTCCCAGCCCTCCACATCCTTGGAGATGGTCCCCTGGATCCCATGATCAACTGTTCCTTCTTGTCTCCCCACTCACAGCACCTCTCTCCCCACACAGTGTATGGGGGAGGGCAGAAGGGGGAGACACTTGAAGCCCATCTCCTTGTTCTTCCTGCTCCCCACATAAGCCCCAGCCACACACGTGTGTCCCGCACAAGTGGGTCCGTGTGCTCCTGTGTAGCCAGCTTGCTGATATCGTGTGTGTTCCCCCTAGAGATCTCTCCAACAACCGGATTGGCTGTCTCACGTCTGAGACCTTCCAAGGCCTCCCCAGGCTTCTCCGTCTGTGAGTGTGGGGCCATTAGCGGGGAGGAGGGGGAGGGACGGCTCACCCCAAAGGAGGGGTTGGGAGGAAGGAGGCAGCACCAGACCCTCATAAGCCCCCACATTCCCTTCACTACTCCCTCCTCTGGCCCAGGAAGACCCTAAGATCCTAGCTCCCTGTCCCCTATCCCCTACAGAAACATATCTGGAAACATCTTCTCCAGTGTGCAACCTGGGGTCTTTGATGAGCTGCCAGCCCTTAAGGTGGTGTGAGTATCTGTTCCCAGCCCAAAGACTCAGAGCCCTACATCCTTTCTCTGTCCAGGAAGGACACACATGAGCATCATGACCACGGCGCCCAACCTTATGAGTAGGTGGGACGGGCGATGGCTGACACCGCCATATTTGCCTTCCCACTATGGCTAGGCTGGTGGTGCACACATACCCCGAATGTGCCCCTTCCAGCCTCAGTCTCTCCCAGGGCTCCATCCCCCCAACCCCCAGAATCCACACTCCCTTGCTCTACTCTGTGGCTCCTCTCCCGGTTCGTTCTGCAGCGATCTTGGCACGGAGTACCTGACATGTGACTGTCGCCTCCGCTGGCTGCTGTCCTGGGCCCGGAATCGCTCCCTGCAGCTCTCCGAGCGCACCCTCTGTGCCTACCCCAGTGCCCTACATGCCCAGGCCCTGGGGGGCCTCCAGGAGGCCCAGCTGCGCTGCGGTGAGCATAGCCTCCCCCTGCACACCTGCCCCTTGGTGCAGAAGCGCTGCAGGAGGGCCCCTGCTGGTTCCAGACTCCCTCTGCCTTAAGTGTTATGGGGTGGTGGGCACCTTCTCCAGGGCATGCCTCCTCTCCCTCAGATCCCTCGGGGCTCCTTCTCCAGCCATCAGTGCTCCTAGACTTTCTTTGGGAGCAGCTGCTTTGTTTATGTTTTCATCTGGTCCCCCTCTTGGGGTGACAAGTGTGCCCTGGAAAGGAGCACTTTGATCTGCTCGTCCAAAGCCCACCTGTTCCTCTCTTGTGCTCTCACTTCCAGAGGCTTTCTCCTGCACTCTTTCTTCCCCACCTCAAGGGGAGCTCTCGTCAGACGGGGCCTGTCCCACCCTGGTGCCTGATGCCCCCCCACGCCCATGTCTCCTCCCACAGAAGGGGCCCTGGAGCTGCACACGCACCACCTCATCCCATCCCTGCGCCAAGTCGTGTTCCAGGGTGACCGGCTGCCCTTCCAGTGCTCCGCCAGCTACCTGGGCAATGACACTCGCATCCGCTGGTACCACAACCGGGCCCCCCTGGAAGGCGACGAGCAGGCAGGCATCCTCCTGGCAGAAAGCCTCATCCACGACTGCACCTTCATCACCAGGTACCAGCCCTCCTGCCCCTTTCCAGCCCCAGGCGGGGGTGGGGGAGGCCACTGTGCCCATCGCCTGCTCCCTAAAGGAGCCCTGCTCCGACAGGGGCTGGAGAGCATGCTCACGTACCTGGGAGAGTGCGCGGGTGTGTTTCTGGAAACCCTGGGCTGAGTCGTAAATGGTCTGGCTAGGGGATAGAGACTCAGCGCCTGATAGGAAAAAAACAAGGATGATACCTGAGGTTTCTCTGGCGCTTCCACAGTGTATGCAGTGACTCTCAGCTCCACTGTGGGACCGAGTCTCTCCGATAGACTTGCAGGGGAGGTCTTAGTAGCTCCGTGATAAAGGTGGGGAAATGGAAGCTCAGGAAGACCGTACCATAAGGCCAGTCGGAATTGAGGGAGTGTGTGCTCGCGTCCCTCTCCGTTAAAGAGGACAGAACCCTGAAGCCCCTGCCCCGCAGGCCCTCAGTCAGGGGCCCCGGGGCGGACGGGGTTGGGGCGCTTAGGGAGGGTGGCGCGGCCACCGAGAGTGCCTCGCAGCCAGCCCACCGCCCGCCCGCCCGCAGCGAGCTGACCCTGTCTCACATCGGCGTGTGGGCGTCAGGGGAGTGGGAGTGCTCCGTGTCCACGGCGCAGGGCAACGCCAGCAAGAAGGTGGAGATTGTGGTGCTGGAGACCTCCGCCTCCTACTGCCCTGCTGAGCGAGTCGCCAACAACCGCGGGGACTTCAGGTGCGGTGCCTTCTGCCGCCCCGGGCCCCGCCCCTCCGCGCGTTGTCAGAGAACACGGGGCGGGGGCGGGGCTCCCCATCCGTTCTAAGTCCCCAGCTCCACTGTCCCGCTGTTGTCCCGCTGTTGTTTTCGCATATCTTTTTGTATAAACCCCCATCTGACATGTGCTGTGCAGAACAAAATGTTTGGGTGGGTTTTGTTTCTTTGTCTTGTTTCCTTGCATTAATAGTTTATGAAATTCGCCCACAAGGAACATCAGATTTTAATATACCCCTGGGCGTCTCCATGAGGAAGGGCAGGTACTATCCTCCCCATGGACAGCTGAGAACCCTCAGGCCCAGAAAGGGTAAGGAGCTTGAAGTCAGGGCTCCATGTCTGAACAAACGTGGACTCAGAGAGAAGGTGGAGCTCAGGAGCCCCTCCAAGGCCAGTCCGAACTCTCTCTGAATCCACCCCCTAGGTCCTAAAGGGGTTCAGCATCCCAGGTCTAAGGGCAGAGGAGGGAGCCTTGCTCTGAGGAGCCTGGGGGATCAGCAACCTCCCACGTCTGCCCCCAGGTGGCCTCGAACTCTGGCTGGCATCACAGCCTACCAGTCCTGCCTACAGTACCCCTTCACCTCGGTGCCCCTGAGCGGGGGTGCCCCAGGCACCCGAGCCTCCCGCCGGTGTGACCGAGCTGGCCGCTGGGAGCCAGGGGACTACTCCCATTGTCTGTACACCAACGACATCACCCGGGTGCTCTACACCTTCGTGCTGGTGAGGCCAGGAGAGGAGAGGGGCAGGGGACACCCATCAGCTCTGGTTCTGGGGGCTGGGAAGGGGAGCCCCCTCATGGCTGTGGCTCTGCTGCTCCTCCTTGCTGTGGGCATGAGCAGTGAGGGGCTCTCAGCTAGCTTTTCTCCTTTGAGGGCATTCAGATCCCTCCAGGGTCACCCCAAGCATCTTTATTCTCAAACACAGCCAGGGCGGCCTGAAGGGGAAAAACAAGGACAGCGTGAGGCTGTCCCATTATCCTTAGGCCAGTGGTGTTAGAAGTGGGCGGCCCGGAGTCCTGATGAGTCCATTCCTTACATGTGCCTCCTGTCTTGATTAGACCCAGCTGGTGGGCCAGATCCCTCTCCCCAGGCGCTGGGGCCCTGAGCATCAGCACAGACAAGGGGGCCCTCTAGGGGCAATTCTGGGGGAGAAGGAGCAGAACTGGACCATCTCCTTTATTCCTTCAATCTTCCCAGATGCCCATCAATGCCTCCAACGCGCTGACCCTGGCTCACCAGCTGCGAGTGTACACAGCCGAGGCAGCCAGCTTCTCTGACATGATGGATGTTGTCTATGTGGCTCAGATGATCCAGAAATTTCTGGGTTACGTTGACCAGATCAAAGAGGTGAGATTCAGCCTGGCTTCTGGGGTCCCTGGAAACCAGTCCCCATTTGCTCAAGCCTCTTGTGCCCCAGCCTCCAGGCCCCAAACCCCGCTCCTGCCCTCAGTGACTTTCTGCCCCCTGCCAGCTGGTGGAGGTGATGGTGGACATGGCCAGCAATCTGATGCTGGTGGACGAGCACCTGCTGTGGCTGGCCCAGCGCGAGGACAAGGCCTGCAGTGGCATCGTGGGTGCCCTGGAGCGCATTGGGGGGGCTGCCCTCAGCCCCCACGCCCAGCACATCTCCGTGGTAACGTGGGTCAGCTGGGAGGGAGCTCTTTGGGGAGCCTAGCCCTGGGAGGGAACTTAGAGGCAATCGGGGCCAGCCCTTGCCTGCCAGGAGGGAAACACTCCTGTCTTCAGGCAGCAAGTCCTCCAAGTATGCACCTGCCATGGGCCCAGCTGGCAAGAATTCCGAGCCGGACCGGGGTTGTCCACAGCAGTGCAGAGGGGAGGGAGGGGGCTGATGACAGGGAGGAGTCATGCAAGACTTTGTGGTGGGGAACTGGAGCTGTAACGCTAGTCCAGTGGAAATAAAGGGGAGGAAGGGGAAAAGAAGCCCAAGGCATGAGTAAGAGGAGGCTTGGAAGCAGGGCCACAGCCCTGTGATGCAATGAGGAGTCACAGAGACTCCTGCTCCCTAAGAAGAGGGTGACATTGCCTGTGCTGGGCTGTGAACCGATTAACAACCGCTGCAGGGCATCTTGGCCGTGTAAGATCCCGCGCTGGGTACCCTGGGCGGTGTAAGGTTGGACGGGACCCTGCTCTGCGGCTTGGCCGTGGTGGCAGAACTAGTACCTGCTAAGGGGCGAGCAAGGTACAAGGTAGGGTGTGAGGCAAGGAAGGGTCTCAGGAGGGTGCCATGGCCAGGGGTTGGGGAGACCCCACAGCACACATCATGCTGCCAGGCCTTGAGCAGCCAGTCAGGACTAAGGTGTGGGGGTGCCCAGCCTAAGTGAATCTGCAGAGAGGGACTGGGCAGTGGCCGGCAGGAGGCCCAGAGATCTGGAGCTGCTGTATCTCAGATGGGGAGGGGGCTGACAAGCTCCCTGTCCCTAGAACTCAAGGAATGTGGCACTGGAGGCCTATCTCATCAAGCCACACGGCTACGTGGGGCTGACCTGCACAGCCTTCCAGAGAAGGGAGGCAGGGGTGCCGGGCATGCGGCCCGGGGGCCCCAGCCAGAATCCCTCACCGGAGCCTGAGCCCCTGGCTGATCAGCAGCTCCGCTTCCGCTGTACCACAGGGAGACCCAGCATTTCTCTGTCGTCTTTCCACATCAAGGTGGGCACTGGGGAACGGTCGAGGGGGTGGTCGTGCTTTGATGCAGGTGCCTGGTGGGGGTGGGTGGGGTGAGTGGAAGCAGATCCAGAAAAGGGGTTCAGGGGAGGGGGGAGGAGAGGACTGGAAGGCCTCAGAGTCCTAGGGGTTCCCAGATGTCTCTGAGGAACTCCGATGTCCCCCCAGAACAGCGTGGCCCTGGCCTCCATCCAGCTGCCGCCCAGTCTGTTCTCGTCCCTTCCGGCTGCCCTGGCTCCCCCTGTCCCCCCAGACTGCACCCTGCAACTACTGGTCTTCCGAAATGGCCGCCTCTTCCGCAGCCACGGCAACACCTCCCGCCCTGGAGCTGCTGGGCCTGGCAAGAGGCGTGGTGTGGCCACCCCTGTCATCTTTGCAGGAACCAGTAAGGGACTGAACTCCCCTGTGCTGCACGGAGTGCTCCCAAGTGTCTGCCTGGGGCCCCTGCCACCTGCCCTTCCCTCACCCACAGCGTCCCCTAAGGCCCTGAGGGAGGTGGAGGAGGACAGTGGCTCCTGATCATTTCCCAAGAGGATAAGGGACAGAGACATCCTCTCAAGGAAGGGATTGCTAGAGAAGGACTCTGGAAGACATTGGAATTTATATCCCAGATTTGTCAAATTCCAAAAGGGTTCTCTCTTCACCTTTCTCTCCCTCTCCCTCAGTATTACCTTCTACCTTCCTCTCCCTGTCCCCAGTCACGGCTCATTTGACATTTAGAATGGGTCACCTCCCAGTGCTTTTTGATTCATTCCTGGGTCTCCATGGTACATCCCAAGCCCAGCCCACACCCTGCCCCACCCACGGGTTTCGTGGAGCTCTGCCGTTGCTGTCTTGCCATTGCTGTAGGACGGGCCGCCTCACCTCTTCACGGCCTTGTTCTACCTGGGTGGACTTCCCTCTCCCCTGCAGGTGGCTGCGGTGTGGGCAACCTGACCGAGCCAGTGGCCATTTCGCTTCGGCATTGGGCTGAGGGGGCTGAGCCTGTGGCAGCTTGGTGGAGCCAGGATGGGCCTGGGGGCCCCGGGGGTTGGAGCTCCGAGGGCTGCCAGCTCCGCTCCAGCCAGCCCAATGTCAGCTCCCTGCACTGCCAGCACTTAGGCAATGTGGCTGTGCTCATGGTGAGTGGGATGGGGGGCGGGGGCGGGAGCTGGAGAGGACTGGGACTGGGGAATTGTAGGGGGAGCATGGGGTGGGGGTGAGGATGGGGGTATTCTGATCACCTGGGGCCCCAGAGAACTACAGAAAGCAGAACAGCCTCATGACTGTAGAATTCATGGGGAAATGTCCCTCTGGTCCTCCCCCACACCTTTTCATCTTTCAGGAGACAGGTCCTGCCTCCATTCATCCCGAGAGATGGATCTGGAACTCCCCAGCCTGGTCTTCACATCTGTACTCTCTGAGACCCAGATTGTTAAAGGGGAAAAAAAAAATCTGGGAACATTTCTCTTTTCTGATCACCCTCCTCACTCACTCCTCTCCAGGTCCCTCTCCCTCACATTTCGCACCCCACTCTCCCAGATCCTGAGCAGGCATGCACCTGGATTATAGACAGAAACCTCCCCCTCTTTCATCATCTCTGGTTTTTAGGCTGAGAGCAGAGGGGCAAGAGACGAGGGCAGAACTGGCTGGCGGTAGATGACTAACACTACCTGGGACTGACTTTCCAAGAGTGCTGTCTCAGCACTTAGTGTTTACCCACCTGGATGGAAGAGGAGCCAAAGCTGACTGAGCTTGAAGAAAAATGGTCTGGGGGACTGGCCAGGACTCCATGAGATGGCCCCTACCCCTTGCTTCCTAATACTTCCCCTTTCCCGTTCTTTCCAGGAGCTGAGTGCCTTCCCCAGGGCAGTGGGGGGCTCCGGGGCAGGGCTGCATCCCGTCGTGTACCCCTGCACGGCCCTGCTTCTGCTCTGTCTCTTTTCCACCATCATCACCTACATCCTCAACCACAGGTGGGAGCTCCTGAAGGAAGGGAAGATGCGGAGGGGAGGTTGTGGGTCTGAGTACTGGCCAGTGTCCCTTCCCCAAGTGGGTCTCCATGATGTTCGCAGGCTCTTTCGAAGGGTTAAGCCCTCCCTGCCCTCGGGCCTTGATCACATTCACAAACGTGCATGCACACTGTTATCTGCTTTCCCCCTTTGCTCTCCCAATGGCCTTGAGACCGCATGGGCCTGACCTTGGGTGGGTGGCCCGTTAATTAAAGACTGTTTCTGGGGCAGCTCCATCCATGTGTCCCGGAAGGGCTGGCACATGCTGCTGAACCTGTGCTTCCACATGGCCATGACCTCCGCCGTCTTTGCAGGAGGCATCACACTCACCAACTACAACATGGTCTGCCAGGCAGTAAGCAGAAGGGGCTAGGGTGGGGGTGGGGAGCGCTCCAAGATGAGTGATGGCACAGAGTTGGGAGGTGCAGGGGAAGAAATGAGGTCTCATGCTGATAGGCCCCAGCTCCACTGTTGTGTGCAGCCCTGCTGGGGGTGGGAGCCATGGGCATAGGGGTGGTAAGAAGTAGAGAAACTAGAAGATGGGTCTTCAAAGTGGAGGGCGGGGATCTGCAGTGGAGGAGAGGTCAGGAACAGGGCAGACACCAACAGCAGGGCTGTGAAAAGTGTCCCCAGTGGAAGAGGAGCATGGGGTGGGAGGAGAGAGGGTGACAGCAGGGGCAGAACCTTTGGAGGATCAGGGTAGAGCTGGGGGTGGGACTGTGGGAGGAGTGGGAGAATAATCCTGGGGACTGGGGCTCTGGGGCGGCTTGAGCAGTAGCAGCCTGGTCCCCCAGCCTCTGTGGCTTGACCCTGCAGGTGGGCATCACGCTGCACTACTCTTCATTGTCCACACTGCTCTGGATGGGCGTGAAGGCCCGTGTCCTCCACAAGGAGCTCACCTGGAGAGCACCCCCTCCACAAGAAGGGGACTTGGCTCCACCCACGCCCCGCCCCATGCTCCGGTACTTGCCTCCAGCGGTCAGCTTTGCAAGGGTGAAGGGCTCCGAGTCCAGGCCAGGGGAAGGACAGCACCATCTGTTTTCCCAGGCTGGAGGCAGGGCGGGTCCAAGGTCCTGGGTGAGCACTCTCCAAAGAGAAAAGAGTTGCAAAGCCTTGGGTGGGTGGGCCAGGTTGCCCAAGGCCTTGGGAGTGGGTGTGTCCTTAGAGCTTTTCAGGGATGACAACAAGGCCAGGGCCCTGGGCCCTGGGGAGGGATCCTGCGAACCACAGTGGCACCCTGACTTCTGTACTGTTTCAGGTGAGAGAGCAATTCTGGCCTCTGTCCCTTGCAACAGTCATGGTCAAGTCCCCTGGGAACCTACAGAGCCCGCAACAAATTCTGAGAGAATTTAAAGGGGAAGAGGAGGGGACAGAGACCCCAAGTCAAGGTTTCTGAGCATCTGGTTCCAATTCCCTTGGTTCCCCACCATCTCTGACCCCCAAACCCCATTCCTCTCCAGGTTCTATCTGATCGCCGGAGGCATCCCACTCATTATCTGTGGCATCACAGCTGCGGTCAACATCCACAACTACCGGGACCACAGCCCCTAGTGAGCGCCATGGCCTGCCTGCCCCAAACCCACCTGCCCCAATACCAGATGCCCTCTACTCCACTGGCAGGGGCACCTGCAGGCCCACCTGGCCAGTGACCCAACCCAAACCCATGCATGTTGCCTAAGCCAGTCTCTGCCTTGCCACTCACCACGTCCTATCTCCCCAGCCACCTCAGACATGCCCCTCCTCACCCACTGCCTGTGTCTCCCCTCAGCTGCTGGCTGGTGTGGCGTCCAAGCCTAGGAGCCTTCTACATCCCGGTGGCTTTGATTCTGCTGATCACCTGGATCTATTTCCTGTGTGCCGGGCTGCGCTTAAGGGGTCCTCTGGCACAGAGCCCAAAGGGGGGAACCAGCAGGGTGTCCCTTGAGACAGGGGAGGAACTGAGGGGTTCCACCAGACTTAGGAGCAGCGGCCCCCTCCTGAATGACTCAGGTTCCCTTCTGGCTACTGGGAGCGCTGGGGTGGTGACACCCGGGCCCCCGGAGGATGGTGACGGCCTCTATTCTCCAGGCGTCCAACTGGGGGCGCTGGTGACCACTCATTTCCTGTACCTGGCCATGTGGGCCTGTGGGGCTCTGGCCGTGTCCCAGCGCTGGCTGCCCCGGGTGGTGTGCAGCTGCCTGTACGGGGCGGCGGCCTCCGCCCTGGGACTCTTCGTCTTCACCCACCATTGTGCCCGGCGCCGGGACGTTAGGGCCTCCTGGCGTGCCTGCTGCCCCCAGGCCTCGGCCTCCCGTGCCTCACCCGGGGCCGTGCCCGCCGCCCCAGAGGACGGTTCCCCCGTATTCGGAGAGGGCCCCGCCTCCCTCAAGTCCTCCCCGAGTGGCAGCAGCAGCCACGCGCCGTCCCTGGGCCCCTGCAAGCTCACTAACCTGCAGCTAGCACAGAGTCAGGTGTGCGAGGTGGGGGTGATGGCCCGTGGGGAAGGGGAGCCGGAGCCCATGGGCTCCCGGGGCAGCCTCGCTCCCCGCCACCCCAACAACTTGCACCATGGGCGCCGAGCGCACAAGAGTCGGGCCAAGGGGCACCGCGCGGGGGAGACCGGCGCCAAGAACCGGCTCAAGGTGCTGCGCGGGGGCGCGGCGGCCGGGGCGCCCGAGCTCCTGTCCAGCGAGAGCGGCAGCCTGCACAACAGCCCGTCTGACAGCTACCCGGGCAGCAGCCGCAACAGCCCGGGCCTCCAGCTCGAGGGCGAGCCCATGCTCACGCCGTCGGAGGGCAGCGACACGAGCGCAGCGCCGCCTCCCGAGGCCGGCCGCCCGGGCCAGCGCCGCAGCGCCAGTCGCGACAACCTCAAGGGCGGCGGGGCCGGCGCGGAGCGGGAGGGCAAAAGGCGCTCATACCCGCTCAACGCCGCCAGCCTCAACGGCGCGCCCAAGGGGGCCAAGTACGACGACCTCGGCGGGGCGTGCGCGGACGCGGCGGTCAGCGCCTGCATGAAGACGGGTCTCTGGAAGAGCGAGACCACCGTCTAGGGCGGGGGTGGGCGACACTGCCAAACATGCCGGCTTCTCGGGGACCCTCAAAGACGTCCAGCGGTACGTCAGCAGATTTGAGGGAGAGGTGCCCAGGGCTTCCGCGGGCCACACTGGCTTTAGTCCCGGAGGCTGGGGAAAAGGACAGGCCAAAGGCCTGCCACTGCCAAGAGGGCCGTACCTCTGGGCTAGCGACGATCCCAGGACCGCCAGCAGGATACACACCTTCCCAGCCCAGGCTAGTTTGGGAAGCAGACTGTGCCGTCCAGGGTAGTGGGGGAAGGTCCTATTGGCCTGGGAGGTGGGCACAGGCACAGCTCCCAGGTGGGCTCCTTCGGTACTCCCCACATCTCATCCACCCTGCCTCGCTGGTGGCCGTCCATATCAGGAAAACACAGACGGGAGCTCCAGAACCATGTTATCTCCTCACTGTCCTCTACAGTCAGCCATCTGTGCCTAGGTCCTAGGGCCTCTCCCTGACCCAGCTTCCAGGGCAAGGAGGGGGCCAGTCTTGCAGATGAGCCAGGCGGCCGTGCGTATAGGTGCTACTTTTAAGATAAACTATGCAAGAGAAGGTGGAACAGTGTGAAAGGCAGCCCTGGAGATGGCGTTCTAGGGAAAGAGTGCACAATCAGGGACACAGGAGTGGTATACAAAGCACAGGGCAGGGCTTAAGAGGTGGGGCTTTAGGACAAAGCAAGAGGCCCTGTGCCTGAGCTGCTGACTCCGCCAGACACCAGGTGAGATCGGAGGCAGCTGGAGAGCAGTACTTAGATTTCAAGCCCCATGCAGTCCTGGCCTAAACCCGGCCCTGTAAACAGTGCTCTGAAGAGAGGCACCACAAGTCCGCAGGTGGTGCTAAAGGAGCACTTAACTGCTCAATGGCAAGCCCCATAGCCTCAGTCTCCGCCTGCCAACACCGAGGGACTATGGAAGAGCATTTCCCCGCCTCCATGAGGCCATATGCAAGAACCATTCCAAAAATCTGATCTCTAGCTCCATATTAGGGAGAAACCTCCCAAACATTGAACCGCCTTCCTGCCTCACAGAAGCCCAAGCTGAATCCCCCAGGGCAGCAGGTAGGATCTCTGAAGCTCACGTGGGGCCTGTGCCTTCACTACTTTTTTAAACACCAGCACCCATATTTCCCCCAACCTAAAAAGCAATCACCAGCCTTACTACAGGACCCAATGAAAAATGGAGGGAAAGCTAAGCCTGGTGAAGAGGATCAGGAAAACCAGACCTGGTCCAGGTCCCCTCTTGGTGTCCACATCCCCACAGTCTAATCACCAAGGCAAAAGACAAAAGGGAGGGGAGAAAAGTCACACACCTTGGGATGAATCCTGTTATTTATGCTTGCTGCACAGACAATATTAGACTAAAAAAAAAAAAAAAAAAAAACACAAAAAAAAAACCCCAAAAAAAAAAAAAAAAGCTTCGTATTATTCTTCCACATATGCTGGCTGCTGTTTACGTACCATGCCAATGCCTTAGCACTGGAGAGCTTTTTGCAATACGCTGGGGAAAAGGGAGGGAGGGGATGAAAAGTGCCAAAGAAAACCTGTTTTTAAAAGCTCGGGTTTTATACAATAGAATGTTTTCTAGCAGATGCCTCTTGTTTTAATATATTAAAATTTTGCAAAGCCCTTTGAGCTATAGAACTTTAGTCCACCCATGGTCCTTTTGTTATGAGGTACAGGATTTTATGACCCCGTACACAAGAACCCACCCATGCCTGCAGATGGACACAGGGCCAAGAATGGCCCAGTTCCTGTCCTCTGAGGGCTGATACCATTTCAAATGCCAACCCTGCCACACCAGCGGGGAGGGCCTATCAGGCCTGCAGCAGCAGTGCAGCTGATCCAAATCAGGAGGAGGCCCGACATCCTCCAACCCGACTAGGAGGAAAGCCATCCCTCACAGTATGAATGTGTGCCTTCCCCTTTGGGACCATCCCTCTCAGGGACGGGATTCTCTCCAACCCAGTTGTTCCTGCATTGCTCCCAACTTCTACTGCAGGACCCAGGTTCCAATTAACTGCAGAATCCCTTAGTTCCTTTAAACAAGAGAAAAAAGAGAAAACCGGCCACCTCAGGACTCGTGTACACTCACTCCTCCGGGTCGCACAGGCCTGTGGTCAAGCTGCTGCCGGAGTGGTGGGAGCGCTTCCTCGGGTGCACATCAGGGAGGGTTAGGAACCCCGGTGGCAGCCTGTCTGGCAGCTTGAGCTTTTTGAAAGTCCCTCATTTCCTGAGGGGTACGCAAATACTGCTCTATTTCACTATCGGAAATGTCCTCGTCGCCGGTGACTGTGGAGATAGGCGGTGGGGGACAGATCCGCTTCCGGGGCTTCAACATGCAAGGTGGGAGGAGAAGGGCAGGACTGGCTGGCCGCTTGCCCTCGGGCAGATCTAAGGAACTACTCGCTGCCTCTGCTTCTCCCCGCCCTGGCCCCAGACCCTGTCCCTGCAGCTCCTTCCCCTCGCCGTCCAGCTCCGCCGTTCCATCTCGAAAGGCCTTGCGGACCAACGTGTGGCGGTGCTGCAGGAGGTCGCCGATGTGCTTCACCACAGACCGCTTGTCGAGCCTCAGCACCTGCAGCCAGGCCAGCTGCTCGGCCATCCGCAGCAGCACAGCCAGCAGCTCCTGGAGGCGGGAGGAAGCAGGACAGGGCAGGTCCACGTTCGCCAATTTACAAAACCGGGCGAGGGAGCACCTCAGACGCTCTGAAGGCTGCAGCGACTGCCAAGCCAGGAAGGTAGCCGCAGTGATGACGGGCAAGGGATGGCGCCCGGTCACCAGCCAGGTCTCATCTGCCAGCTCCACCAACTGCAGTGTTCGAGAGAGCATCTTCTCTTTGTCTTCCACGTATTTGGCTGGCACGGATGGGGAAGCTTGGAACAGTTTGAAGCTGAAAGAACCAAAATAAGAATCTGATCGCCATGCCTATAGGGGAGGGGGCTGCTCTGCCAAAGGGAGGAAAAGCAGTCCACTCGTCATGGACAAGCTATCCTCTCCTCTTGGAATACTCAAGCTCGCTGGGCAGCGACTTTCTACAGGTGCAGAGAGAAGACAGGTGGAGTGTCCTGCTTGTACAGTGAAGGGCAGGAGAACCCACAAGGAGGCTCACGTTTGTCAGCTTCCCCGTCAGCCGTATTCTGAGTGCTTTCCAATTGTTCTCCTTTCATCTCCTCCATACCCCTTTAAGTGCACTTATAGTTAGAAAAAACGGGCCCAGAGTCATCCAGCTAGGAATAATAATCCAGCAAACCCAACACCACTTGTCACTGAGAGCCTTTGCTTTTTCCCCTATTTTTCGGAAAAAAAGAAAAGAACACAGCTACTTAGGAAAAAAAGCCTCAGCTTCTGCCTCTTGCCCCATCACTAACTTCCTTTCACCTGCCTTCACAGATGATCCTTCACAGATGAGCCAAGGCAGGGCTCTGGCATACAGTCAGGCAGGTCACAGCACAACACAAGAGGAGCAAAGTTCAGCAGCCCCGGACCAAGGCTGACACCTACTTTACCTACAGCATTAGGCTGCAGTAAGGGCAAAGGGATTTGGAAATGACAGCAGTTTAGAACTGTAAAATGGGCTTAACCTTATTAGTACGAGGCACAGGGAAGGGAGAATAGGTTTTCTTCTCGAATCCCTTTAGAGGAGCTTTGGTGAAAAAGAGAGCCAAAGGTCAAAGGATTCAGATCCAAGGAGCCATCCCATCCCAGGGTTTCCCTGCGGGTAGGTACCTGCTACAGTAAGTCTTCACCAGGTCTGCCAAGCACAGAGACGGCACATCCAGCCCCAGGAGCTTCACTATCTGCATGTAGGTGCCAGAAAACACATCCAGATCTGCATACAACAGGGCGCAGATGGTTCCCATGGTGAGGGGCCAGTTATGCTGCCGGCAGGTGATTAAGACACAGCACCCAACCAGCACCTCCTTCTTTTGCAGCCTGGCGGCGCGGATGCCAGGGTGCCGGTAGGCCTGCTGGTAGTAGGCAACTGCCGTGTCCTCAAATGTCGATGGCAACTGCAGAACTCGGCAGAGGTCTCTCACGCGGCGGAGACCTAAGAAAGCCAACAGCAGGACTCAAAGAGGTTGAAGGTGCTACTGTGCAGCTCCTAGCAATTTTTGCTAAACTTGTCTCCGACACCAGACGCACAAATAATGTACCTTCCTACAGTGACAAGGGTGACACTTGGTGAGGTCATTCTAAAGACACAAAGAAATTCGTGGAAAAAGTCACATTTCAACCCACCATTCTTCAGGGGCTGGCATGATTCAAAGGCAGGCCCAAGTATGATCTGGAATGCGTGGCTCGACCTCTAACACAGCCCTGACACACCCAAACTGTATACTGAATCAGAACTGTATATGCTCTTAGAACCACCTCCATTCTTTATTTCTAATTACCAATCTCTCCTACTCTACCTTACACAGTAATGCCGAACACAGGGAAAGCAAGAGGGTAGGCTGGACCATCAGGAGAATTTTAAGGCCACCGTATCACAAAAGGTCGATTCTCACCTCGTTGTTGGCTGCGACTAACTTGTTCATTTTCCCCTGTGCTTCGGGAATAGGTTACTTCTGTAAGATAATGGACAACAAACAGCTTGTTTAGCCTTTATTCACCAGATCCCTGGCCTCACACCACACAAAACCGGGGAGAATTCATACCCTTAGGCTGTGCTCCCTGTCTCACAGAAGGCACCCATTTTTGCACGCTAAAAGTCTATCCGGTTTTTATGCCCACAGCAGTATCAAATACAGAGACTGAGAAGGTTAAGAATGCACTACAGTGGCTTCGAGCGTTCCAAGTTTTTTGCCCTCCCTCCTGCATATGCAATCCAGGTAATTTTCCTGACTGCTGATTTTGAGGGCTGCAGTGGCCAGGAACTCAGAACGCAAAGGAAAAAAAAAAAAACAGTATTTTTGCTAATTAGTGTTAAAGACTACTTGAAGGTAATAATTTGTCCGTATCTGTAAAGAACTGACCCACAATCCTTCCATCACACCCAGACTAGGTAAATTGAGTGGAACTGTTTCTCTGATTCATTTGGTCGTTTATTATACCTTCTCTCTCTCTCCAGATAGATGCCAGATACCAGATACCGTACGAGGTGCTGGAAAAAAACAGATGAAGGGCAGTCCCTGACCTCCTGCAGCTTCCTCGGTTACTTTCTCCCGTAGTTTAGCGAACACGGGACGAGGGCGCGGAGGAATAAGAGCACTCCGACGTCAATCTCTCGCCACCCCAGGTTATACCCGCGGCACTGGAAAGGCCGGCACAGATACCTCGGAGGTTGCCTTCGTCGCTGAAGGTGGTAGTAAGGACCCCCTCGGTGACCACGCAGCCACAGTCTGAGCACACCAGCTGGCTCTGCGAATAGTGCGAGTCTTCCACGAGCTCCGTGGACCCGCAATCGGGGCAGCGGCCGCCGCCAGGCATCTCACACCCCAGAGGCGCGGAAGCTTTCGGGTATCCACTCCTACGTCCACAGCAGCAACAGCGGAGAAGCAAGAACCACGACGGGAGCCTTCTGAGCGCTGCACCCTTCTCTTCCGGCCAGAGCAACCGCGGTGTACGTAGGTAGTTCTGTCCGCCGGCTGCGCGTCACTCCGGTCCGTTCTGTTTGGCCTCGGGTAGAAACGCGAGCCAGGAACAGAGGTTCCTGCTGTGGACTCCCTCTGTCTTCGCGTTCTCCATTATTTGCGGTCGGTTTGCAGGTTGAATTTGAGTGAAACTT